TTTCCCCCTCTCCCCCTCTCCCCAGCCCCCCCACCCTCTCTTCCTCTCTTCCTAAGCTCCAGGTGTGCCATGTAATTTCCAGGACTTGTAAGTAACAAACAGGCGTTACACAATACACAATGAGTAAAAATGCACAAATACGTGCACAAAACTAACGCACATCCACGTCAGGGTGGTGATTACCTCTGGGGAAACTGAAGGAAGAAAAATTAAGTGGGGCTTTAATAGTATGTGTAACATTTTCTTTACAAGGTTTGAAGAAAATTAGACAAAACCTTTACTTATGTTTATTCCTAGAGTTGGGCCCAGAGCATTTTACATATTCTTGTTCTTTTGTTTACATTTGAAATGTTTCAAGCCTAATTTTTTAAAAAATCCTAGTGTATGGTAAAAATTATCTTCATTCTTTAACCTGATTTTCACTGGTTCATCTATCTCCAGAGATAATACACAATGCCAGTCTATTTTGTATCATTCCAGGGATCCTCTAAGACTGTGTTTTCTGATACATAATAGATAGATGAGGCTATTGAGCATTAAAAAATGGCTCGTCCAAACTGAAATATGATGTAAGTGTAAGATACACAGTGGATTTTAAAGACATATTGCAAAAGAATGTCAGTTATGTCATTAATAGTCTATTTCATGTCAAAATGATAATATTTTGAGTATATTAAACAAAATGTATTAGTAAAATTAATTAATTTCACCTGTGTCACTTTACTTTTTTAAATGTGACTACCAAAATTTGAAAACTGGAGAAATTAAATGTTTCATCTACTGTCGTAGTGAACCCTCAGTGACTATAAGTCACATATCTTAGCTATTGTACTATGTTGACTTTTTTAAAAAAATACAGGCAGATAATGATGCTATGCTCATGCAAATACAGTTTGGATAACTGGCCTAAGTTTACAGATCCGAATAATATCACACTCAATAGGAAACGTCATGGCTTCTTTGGTACAGTATTTATAAACTTCCATGAGTGTGAGGTAAGGAAAATCACTATGCAGTTGCTCTCAAACCTGGCCATAGGTCAAAATTACCTGCAGAGTGTTTTAGAAATAGATTCTTAAGTCCAACCCTAGAATCTAGTTTTTTTCCTTTTTGTTTTAAGAAATGCTTTTTTAAAGATTGAGTTTTAAACAGATAAGAGAATAAAATAATTCATTTAAAAAAATGAATGTTTTATTACATGAGGAAAGGCTATTTTAATTAATCAATAGATATGTATGAATTAGGCATTAAAAATTTGGTTAATAAAAGTTTTAATTCTTTGTTCTTTTTCAATATTTATTGATGAAGATAATTATTATATTCACTTCCAAATCATGAAAATAAATTTCTAAAAGCTACCAAAATAAATCTAAAATGTGTCTACATAATTTTCTGTTTATTTTCAGATTAATTTTTTAAAGACTGAAGTGGAAAGAAAGAGCAAAATGATCCGAGATCTTCAGAATGAGGTAAGACATATTTCAGGAAAATTTTATATAAATCAGAGAATATACACAAACACATATTTATTTGGTACAAGCTTTGAAGTATTGATCAATACAAATTTGGCCTTTAGTTATGTACTAATGAAGAGGAACTGTGAAGTTAAGAACTTAAAGGAGTAGATAATTCCTACTTTTATAAATATTTGACAATGTCATTAATTCATACATCTCCAATTCATTTTCTTTTCTAATTATATTTTGCTTGGAAAATATTAAAAATTTATTTTTATTTCATAAATTTATTAGTTGACATTACAGTCACCGAAGAAGAAATCTAGGAAAAAACAATCTAGAGTGAAAAATTAACGTAAGATCTTCCTAGAGTACTGTAGATTTGAGCAAAATAAGCTGTAACCACTTTCATTACAACCTTCAAAATGTAAGGACCCTATAATATACTATATATCTTTTATTTTTTTTGATTCTTTGTCTATCTTGTATAAGTAGTTTATTTTTTTAAATTTCTCCATCATGTTTCTATTTCTACCTCTTTATTTCCTTTTTCCTTGAATGCAATTAGTCACTTCAGACCATTAAACTATGACTAATTAATGATATATTTTCCTTAATCGATCCCATTAATTATGGTTTATTTTGAATCCCAAATCAATGACTTCAGCTGTTACTAGTTTCTCTTTATTTCCTTCTTCCTTTTCTTCCTTACTTTCATTTTTTTGAGACATTTAAAAGCAGATAAGCTATATTATTCCTAGTTTCCACCTTATGTCATGGTTAAAAAAATAGACTACAAATGTCTCATATCAACATTCAGCATCAGTGCTCTGGTTATGACATTAAAATGGTTTCTCAGATGTGCAAAGACTGAGATAAAGAAAAGCAGGAAAATTTTAAATGGTTTTCTGATAATTATTGTATTTGCATTTCTTTTTTAATGAGTTTTTCGTCTGAGTCTTCTTAAGAAAGTGTGATGGGGCAGACTTGGTAACATTTTTCCTAAGGCTGAAATCTTTTTTGATTTCCTGTTTATAGTGGAAAATGTCAGCAGATCGGAGTCACCAGAGTACTCAATGTTCTGGATAATTTCTTGTTCACAGGGGTTCAGGGAGAGCTCAGTGAAAAGGCTAGATTACTCAAGTCAAAAACTTTCTACAGATTGTGTAATACCAGGGGAACGTTTAAAACAACGTTAAAGGTGGTATTAAAATTGGAAAGAAAGTACATTTGCATGTACACACGTGTACACACACATACACATAACAACATGAACCCAGTTGTATGATAATGAGAGAATTATGATGGGTTAATTTAAACCTCTATATAATTCCATCAGATAACTTTTGAACTTGATAATTTTTTTTTTTTTAAATCTAGCATTCAAGTAAGGAGAAAACACTTCCAAAATCAAACTATAATTTATTTATAACAAGTACATATGAGGACAAACCATTTTGTTACTGGGGGCTATTTTATAGTATAATATTAATTTTCTTAAGTGTGTAGGGTAAAATAGTTCTAAAAGAAATATAACTCTGCAAAAGAAATATCTGCTAAATGTAAGTTGTATAATTAAATTTACTAATAATTACTTTCATCATATTAAAAATTTACAAGGTGAAAATTGATAACCAGAAAAAGGTTTTGATTTCTTGAAAAAAGAATATAATAATGAATATATATCATCAACTAAATGGTGAACATATAACATCAGCTTTTAATTTGATTCCTTTATATTAATTGAATTTTTAGATTTGTCATTTTGACAATGATTAGTACATAGAGATTGAACAAAATAACTGACCCATACCTTGTATAGTAAAATTACATGGACATTGCCTAGAAGATTTTTAGTTTAGGAGTAAGAAAAAAAAAAAAAAACACGTAAACTGATTAAACAAAATACAATGGGTGAGGGAGACAGTACAGGTATAAAGAGATTTACAGGAGAAACTTGAAATTCCCTGAATACTGCTGAGTGATGGTATTGAGGAAGTCCCAGTAGAAGGGACTTCTGAAAAGTTATTAAAGAATCAATCAGCATTTTTTCCATATGTGAAAGCAGCTACTAAAAGGCGCTTTTACATTAGCACCTGGGGATTTAACTTTTAAGATTTCAGATGCTATTTGAAAAGGTAAAAATATTTACACATTTTTATTTTTAAAGCAAATGCTGTGTACGGCAGAAAGCATTTTGATTTTGCCACCCATGCAGGCACACCTGGAACAGGCCATGTGGGGTCTCATGACTCAGATTGTAAGGCATAACACTTCAGAACCTAAAATCATAACTGCGAAAGAACACTGGAGATCATAGAGAACAAAGTGGGAGAGAGGAAAAGAAATAGAATTTTTACAAAGAAAATAGACAGTGGGACTAGAAATAGTGTGAGCTGTGAGTTAATCAGAACTTGTCCAGCTCCTTTATTTCATTTATCTCTATCTCAATCTATCTTCACATGGGCATCACTTTTATTTAACCTGTGTCTTGGACTGTTTTTCATTGGGATTTAGGTGGTCTCTAGGTTTCAAGTCTTGGCCATCTACTTTTCTGGTTATATTCTCTTTCATGAAATAGTCAAGTCAAATATATTCCACTACCATGTATACTTTTTGTACCAAATCACCATATTAGCAAGTAATAAGTAGTGGAATGATGTCAGTAAAGTTTTGAAATTTGTGTTGATTTATATGTAATTTTCCCCAGCATGTTAGGGTTTGAAAACAACCTGGGGAAAGCCTGGTCAAATTTTAGAGAAATCTTTGTCAATATAATGACGCAAGAAAATATGCAGAAGGATATATTGTGCTTTCGTGCTGTTCAGATGGTTTAGTGCCTTCAATCATTTTATAAAGATAGTTTTCACTGAATCAAGATGTCTAGTTAAGAGATGAGTATAGAAGACTTTCCTGCTTCATTAAGGGAAGAGATTAATGAAAATATGTGTCAGATTTTAATTTTGATGACATTGTACTATATTAAAAGTCAATTCCCTTTAGGATCTATATCTCAAAGGAAAAAGCACTAAATCCTAAGTGGTACTGCAAAGGATTGACTATGATCCTTGTGATAAATGCTGTAAAATATTAAAATGTGGTTGTACTTTTATTAGTATTGTTATTATTTTGTTAATGCTATGATTACAAAGTTACATCATAAGTGACCTTTCCCAATCATATTTTTGCTATACATGCTGTAGTTTTAGTGCAAAAATTTACAAAATGTGAGGTTTCTCACAGCTCAAAAATTGATTTATAGTAGATATATCACCAGTCGTCAAGTAACTTCCTAATCTGTCTCTAGTTCGGATGTCTCTTACATATTCCATCTTTGTACATTCAGTTGCTTATTTTGCATTTTGTATTTGGATATTATATGGTTCCAACAAATATAAAATTTTGCACTACAAAATAAGACAAACAAACAGACAAATCAACCTCTCTTCTCTGACTTCAATGTATATGCTAATTGTATCATTATGTGATATAGTCAATATCAGAAATTCCAAAGCTCAGAATTGTCTTTAACTTTGCACTTTCAAAACACCCTCTCTTCATTATCATTTCCATTTTTTAAAAAAATTTTATCCTTTTCCTCTCTAGGCTAAAATAAGTTGGTCTATATTGGTCCTAGATATAAGAAAATATCAAGTGATGAATAGGATAATATACAGGTATTGAAATACTAGACAAATTAGGCCTCGGAACAAGCATCTTTGATTAGCTGAAACTCCTTAATGAGATGTGTGAGTTTGATAATGTTCGGGACTTTGTAAGGGAATATTAGTTGAATATGCTTGATTTAGATTAGTATTGAAATCGTTTTTATTAAATTAGTAAAAAGATAAAAGGAAAATAGAAAGAAAGGAAGGAGGGAAGGGAGGAAGGAAGAGAGGGAGGAAGGGAGGGAGGGAGGGAGGGAGGGAAGGAGAGAGGGAGGGAGGGAGATGTGGCCCCCTACCTTTCCGCTCTCTTCTGTGGTGGTTTGTTTTAGTATAGATTCTTATGATGGATTCTTTTACTGAGACTCATTCAAGATAGTTCAAGATAAAGATAAAATAAGGAATCATAAAATAATAATAATACAGTAAGGAATCATAAAAGTAGGCTTCACTCTGCCCAGCGATGGAAATCAGAAATTTGTCAAAGCTATTCTCTCAATGGCATGCTTCCCCTCTCACTATTTCCTGACTCAACTTTTCTTTCTTTCTTGTCTCTCAATTTTTTGCTCATTATTTTTCACATGGTTCATACAGTTTTTTATGTTTTGCTTTATTGCTGTTGTTTTAAGTGCCTGGGAGAAAAATCTTGCCATAAGTCAAGTCACTATCCAATCTGTGGATTTCTAAATAGTTCCAATTGCCATTGACGCATACCCGTGCATATGAGGGATAAAACATCAGTTTTTAGGGACAATGTACCAGTTACTGTTCTCAGTTGTGGCAAAAAGAATCCTCTGACAAGAAGAAAAAGGATTTATTAAGCCATATAGAGATCTCACAAAATCATTAGGATTGCTGAATATACAGCTTGTAGGCTAAACTTTAGGAACAACTCTATAAACACTCAGAGCTGTCTGTCTTAAGGCAGGCCTTCCTCTGCCAAGATCAGGAAGCTGCAAGCCAGCGCAATGCTCCCAGCCCTGCAGACCCTTGCATTCCACAGCTGTATGCCTTGTGCCTCAGACAGTGAATAACATCTAGCCTGTTTTCTACATAGCCAGTTTTTGTATCTACATATTACAGGGATCATGTCTGATTAGTGAAGTCGTGTCTGCCTGGAGCTGCAATGGAACTTTAGAAATAGAGGGGATGTGTTCATTTTATTTCTAATTTTCTTGCTTTAATTTTTCCTTGGAAATATGGGTTCAACACTAAAAAAAAACTTTTGCATTATGGAAAAATGTCCCAAAATTTGGTAGCCTTTATATTAACAACTTTTCTTAATAAATAGTTAAGGTCCATGGTAATTAGCTTTAGTATATGGTAGGCCATCATTGAAGGGTTTTG